TGATCACGTGCTCCGACAATTTGGTTTTGTACAACCAATTCTGGAAGCACCTCGTAATATGGACGAGTTGCATAACACAGATCGACGCGACAAGTCGGATACAGATTGGCTGGTAAAGCATCATGAGTGGGTCGTGTTGTGCGAGGATTGATATCGATTCCGTCCCCATAGAGAGCACATTTATGATGACCTCTTGATGGTTGATGATGATTATTATGAGTGGTTCAACAGTAACGGGAAACTGTTTCTGCTTTCCGAGGATGCACGAGGGCGGACCTTTCAGCGACGTCGACAGAGACGTCAACTGTCACAACCCCATCGTCCCCCGACTCGTGGACAGAGAGTAGGTGCTTCCGGTTCGTCCTCAGCTGCACCAGCAGGACCTTCACAGCAGCCACCGTCTGCAACGACTTACATACCGCAACCATATATGGTGCCGCCACCATCTTTCCCTTACCAGATGTCGCCGCCTCCACCGTCATAGAGTTATATGACCCCTCCTGGAGGATATTATGGGTCTGTGTTTGCAGATCCGACTTGGGATTCATATGCTAGTTATTTGGCGGGTGCAGTCTCATTACCCATGGTTGCCGCACAGACACCTCCTGTACAGTTTTCACAGTCATCGATGGCTAGGTTTTATGAGTTTTCACAGTTATCTATGAGCGGTGGAATAGTCAGTCATACACCTCTAGGGTCCTTATTCTATGGAGGTGCTATATTGTCAGCAGTTTCTCATCAACAAAATGTATCTTCTCCTAATGAGGACGATGACGATGATGATGACGGTGATGATGATGACAGCGAGGAGTCAGAACCAGTTATACGAAGAAATCCTCCTCGAGGTAGACAGCCGCCGCCCTGCGGAACACATTCGCACCGCAGACATCGATAGATTTTGATATTTTATTATATTTGTATTTTGTTGTTTATTGGACTTTTTTATTGTAATTTTTTTTAGTTAATTAATTTTATTAATTTTGTTTATTACAATTTAATACCAGTTATTGTAATTATTTTTGTTTACCATTTAATACTTATTATAAGTTTGTTGTATTTAAAATTTTATTCAAATACGAAATTGCTATTAGTTGAATAATTTTTATTAATTGTGTCCGATAACTTTCTTAAGTTTGTCACTTATTATCTCTTTTATTATAATCACATATAACGTCAACGTCGAATCCCGTTTTCATTGAATTGTTTTTTTAATCATCATTAGTGGTTATCAAATGATATTAACTTTAAGTAAATATTATTTGATAAACAACAACTACATCAGTTCATCATCAATGGTTACTTGATGACAAAAGAAGTGGACATGTTCTTCTAGTGTGTCCTGAGTTTCTACAATGCCCACATTTTTTGTCTTGTCTATATGTTTCTCGAATATCCATATCACAATGAATTCGAGTGGATTTTGGACGACCACACTCCCTCAATAAACTCGGATTTGGTACAATCGGAACCTAATTCTGAACATCATCAGGGTCTTTGTCATTACCTATGGGGGGAACTCAAATTTGTATACTTAAAAACTTCTGATAGTAGGTACACAGGATCCACAAAACGGTTATAGTCTTGACGGGTATGCGAGCAAGCTGCTATCACATGAGAGCATGGATACTTCAGAGCTTGAAAAAACCCGCAGTCGCACCATCTGTCCCGTATATTTACTCTTAACGACACAGCTTCAATCCCTTGAAGAAGTTGCGACAACTCTGTGACACGAAATAATTCATTCGATCTAGAGAAGCTTGTTACAGACATTCCATTTGATGCAACAATTTTTTTTGCAGATTTGTAGCTAATCTAGGGTGACAGACATGACCGCCTTGCATCCATGTTTGAGCTTGTTCCCCGAGCTTCGCAAAAAGCACCCCCAAACGAAAATATGTAGTTTTTACCAAAGCTGCTACAGGTAAGTGACGAGCACCCTTTAAGGTCGAATTGATTACCTCAGCCAAGTTGGTCGTCATGTGTCCATATCGATATCCACTATCATATGCGTTTGTCCACATTTCTTTATTGATGAGGCTGATGTAATCGTATCCTTCCTCGTTCTTCTCCCGCAAATCTTGAAGCATGGATTCAAATGTTTGAGGTAGTAGTTCGTAACTTGAGCATAAAATGTATAAATTACTATCTTTGTTTCTTTAAAAAATGAAAATGATCGAAAGAAAACAAACTACATCAGTTTCACTTACCCATGCGCACAAGTAATTTACGCTCATCATTCTTCTTGTACCTTCCATGGTAGTTTGCAACAATGTGTCGGATACAATACCTATGTTGGACAAAGGGTGGTTACCACATTGGACCCAAAGACTCCATTGCTGCTTTGATCCCAGCTCCGTGATCTGAAATGAAACATATTTGTTCCCTCGTGATAACATGTGCACGTAAGTTTCGGAGGAAAAAAGCCCAAGAATATGCATCTTCTCCTTCAACAAGAGCAAAAGCAACTGGAAGAATGTTGCGATTACCATATTGGACAACTGCCAATAATAAAACTTGCTTGTTTTTTCCATATAAGAAAGTCTCGTCGATCTGGACCACAAGCTTGTAGTATTTGACAATATTAACGCACTGTGGGTAAGTCCAAAAAACCGGTAAAATTGACATCGATCGCGAAGAACTCGATCATTATGGTATGCATAGGAGGTTTCAAAGTCCATAATTGTCCCAGGATTCAACCTCTGCACCAGCCTAAACCAACTTGGAAGTTCGTTGTAAGATGCATCTCATTCGCCATGAAGTTTGACAATGACATTTTGTTTTGCCAACCAAGCTTTTATATAGGAGACAGTGTACCCATACTGTTATTGTATAGCTGAAATCAACACATCAATAGTTATATGGGAGCTTGCTTTTACCATGGGCATGACGACTTGGCAGATCACTTCAGAGTCCAAGTTGGGATGATCTTGGTTGATCCCTCCAGTACAATATGTGTGAGGACCGTTGTATACTGTTAGTTCCTATCTATTATTTTTCCTCTTCCTCTTCGATAGGCTAACCATCCAATTGCATCTGTTTTCACGTTGGGCACAGTGGCATACATATTTTTTTGTCATAGAGCGGTCGACTCTGGATTGAACATAATTACGAATATTGTAATTTTTTATAGGCATCATCGCTTTTTCTTTGCTTGAAAAATCCATGCCTAAAGATAACTCACCGTTATTTACTGATGAGTAAAATCCATAGTCATCGAGATGAGGCATATCCGTAAATTCTGGCCCGTATATTATCGGAGTTGAATTGTGGTGATTCTGGTTGAATGAATAGTCCAGTCTCAGCGCTATACGCACCTGGCTCACGAAGCGGTTCTTTTGGTGGATATGATGATTCCTCCATGCTCTCCACTTTTAGGTCGAAGAACCTACCACTTGCACGCCTTCCCCTTGAACTAGAAGACATATCAAAATTGAGATCGAAAAAGCTCGTAGTCAAATGTCTCCTCCTTAAGCTTGAAGTCATCGTGTCAAATGAAAACTGCACAGATTGTTGCGTCGAGGGCATCCCCATATTAAGGTCAAAGAAATTGGCAGATGAATGCCTTCCCCTTGAACTGGTCGTGATGTTGCCATAAGAATTGTTCTTGCACCCACCTCGGTACATATCGTAAGGAGTTGCTGATGAATGTCTCCATATTGAAATTGATGTGACGGCATCATGATGCGGATTTCCCATTATGACATTAAAATCATTACACAATAGTTGGGCTGTCAACTTGATCAGCTTGTCCAGCTAGCCCATAGTAGGAGATTAATGACAGACCCGAACAGCACGCACTTCAACAAACTTTGCATACATCTCCGTAACGGCGTCTGAATAATTATTTTGAGAATCAATCATCATTTCAACATCATCATTGTTCGATAGTTCGAACGTTGTATAAGTTAATGACAACAATGATGTTGGAAATCTGTACTGAAGCGATGTCATTCTTCTAGTACTTCCAACATAAACCTTCCTTGAAATCTTCGTTATCAGCTCCTCAAGAGTTATGTTTCTCTTTAAGGATATTTTAACATAATGATTTAATACGAAAACAACGCCGGTTTCATCTTCCTTAATTTCTCCATCATAATAAACAATAGCTGAAATTCACGTCATTCTTAGAGTTTGAAAGTGAGACAATCTTATAGCTGCAATAAATAAACCGAAACAAGCCTAGTTAAATAAATAATATATGAATTAAAATATAAGGAAATAAAATTTTTACACAATAACGTAAATAATTTAAATAATATAATTTTATATTATTACCTGCACCGTAAAAATATTTCGATGTATGCTCTCGTTTTTCAATTTTACAAATACAAAAATTAATTGAAAACAATTAGTATAATATTTTTTTTTCAAATAATCATATATAATTATAAAAATATTATAACAAAATTATCTTATAACGAAAGATTGAACGAACTTCTGAATCAAATATAAGAGGATTGTTGGGTGTTATTTACTGGTTGAGAGGATTGTTTCTCGGTTGAGAGGGACTTGTGAGAGAGTTTACGGGGAGAGGGATATTTATAGCAGAACGACGATGCTTTAAAACCGATATGAAATTGACCGCGCCTTGCATTATGCATGTGATAATTGAAAGGCGCGATCCCTGCACCACGCTATACCCTTACGTAGCGTAAGGCGCGCCCCAGAGGCCGCATTTTAGCTAGCGTGTATCCATCTCAACATAAGACACGCTTCATGGAGCGCGCCTTACCCTACGTAACGTCATATTAGCGTAAGACGCGTCTTAGGATGCATGCCTTTCTATCAAATGTATTAAATTGAGAAATATAATCTAAACGATGTCGTAAAAAAGAATTAAATGGTGATTTATCGAAAAAATTGCCTTATATATACGAACGTTAAAAAATGAAAGAAAATGAAATGGAAAGTAAAATAGGAGGGATGCGTGGCAGTTGAAGAGAAAAAGGCAGTACAAAGTCAAATCCTTGGCTACGCAAATCGTCCTTTCTTACTGCTGCTCTTCTTATTAGCTCTGCCACCATCCTCTCTCTCTTTATATCTCCACCTTTTGATTCATATTTTCTCTCACAATTTTGTATTTTTCCTATCAGCCAAACAAAAACCTTTCTTCTGCCCCAAAGAAAATAATGAAAAAATGGTGGGACTGAGTGTTGTTCTGGAGAATCAAAACAGTAGTAATATAATCAGTAAGAAATCCCCACAACTAATCAGCAAAACAACCATGTTTTCTTCTTCTCCATCTTCGTGTTCATCACTTCCTTCCTTCCTTGAACGTTGTTTTCTTTGCAAAAAAAAGCTTTTACCTGGAAAAGACATCTACATGTACAAGTAAGTTTCTCTTTTTTTAAAATCCCAGTTTTTGTTTTTCAATTTTATGATTGATATGGGTTGTTTTTGGTAGAGGGGATAGGGGATTTTGCAGCGTGGAGTGCAGGTGCAGGCAAATTTTCATGGATGAAGAAGAAACTGTGAATAAAGAAAAGTTTTGTTTGGATTCTAGGAAAATGAAGCCTTCTTCTCCTCCTTTTTCTCCTTCAGGTTCTCGCCATCATCGCAAAGCTTACTGAGAAAGACGAAACTAATGGAGCTGCCAACTGCCAAGAATGAAAAAAAAGTTTTTTTAGGTTAATTTCAATTGTATTTTCTAGTTTAGGGTTGTCTAATTTTGTGTAACGACAAAGCTATGAGTTGCCACTTTGGTTCCTGGAATTAGGTCAAAAGAGCTTTCATTTAAACCATTTTTGCCTTCACACACAGCCATGGATTTTTCATTTTATTTCCCTTCTAAATTCTCGTTAAAAGATTTATTCACCAAAATCAAACATATAACTCATGTAATCGAGAGGCAACCAAATAAGAAACACTAAATAATATATAATGGGAACTAATGGGAATTTTATTCGGTCGATACAGAATAAATCTGTAAAGTACGGTATCTCCGCCTATGAATCCTTAAGTATGATATTAAGCAAGTGTCTTAAAATAATTTCACGTTATTATTGAAAGAAATACATATAAGCAGTTTTATAATTTATTACGATGATATATTAAATTAAAATTAAAATTAAATATTAGATATAATTTTTTAAATAAAATTTAAGCATTAAAAAAGTAATGATATAGATAATAAACATATAATTTATGCATATTTAAAATATAAACGAAATCTATCTAATATTTATTTAAATGTAATAATTGTTTTAGTATTCTTAAATTCTCCCTAGGTTCGAATTATTCCATGGTTATTTTCTTTCATTATTTTCTGACATTAATCGCAAGATAAAATATATACAATAGTATTATGTTAAATGTATCAAAAGTCTTGAGGTTAACTTAGGTGGTGTTTGTTTTTACGAGGTAAAAGATCTGCAGTATGCGGACCACATCTGCATGCATCTATAACAGAAGAGGTGACCCAAAAGTCTGCAGTCTGCAAGAAGAAGACTGTTTGTTTTTTAACGTATGCAGACTGCTAAAATGAACTGAAATATAAATAAACTGATTTTTTCAACTTAAAAGAGTTTTGCAATACTGAGATTTAAATAATTTTAATTTTACAATACTGAAATTTAAATAATCTATACAACTACAATAATAAATTATTTAAAATAAATCAATCCATATTTTAAAATAAATCAATCCATACAACTACAATAATAAATCAATCTATATTTTAAAATAAATCAATCCATACTAATAAATTATTTAAAATAAATCCATACAACTACAATAATAAATCAATCCATATTTTAAAATAATTTAATCCATACTAATAAATTATTTAAAATAAATCAATCCATATTTTAAAATAAATCAATCCATACTAATAAATTATTTAAAATAAATCAATCCATATTTTAAAATAAATCAATCTATACTAATAAATTATTTAAAATAAATTATTTTAAAATAAATCAATCCATATTTTATAATAATTTATTTTAAAGTAAATTATTTTATAATAAATTATTTTATAATAAATTATTTTAAAATAAATTATTTTATAATAAATTATTTTAAAATAAATTATTTTAAAATAAATAACTTTATTAAATTATTTAAAATTATTTTAATAAATAACTATATTTTATAATTGTTCTTGAAGATGTTTGAAGACCTTTGAAGACATAAAATCAAGTCTGCACCAAGAAGAGCTCGCGCAGACGTTTGAAGAGCTTCTGTCTTCTAAAAAACAAACAGTCTGCGAAACCTAATGTCTGCGCGACGTAGACATAAGTGGTTTGAAGAGCTTGCACAGTGAAAACAAACACCACCTTAGAGACTTAGTGTACTGTTTAATTAGAAGATTAAATTTAATAAATAAGATTGAAATAATGATAAAATATGTAATTATATTAATTTTGTTAATTGCCACATTAACATTTTTGTTAAATACTAACGACAGATGATTTGATTGAAATTATTTAAATAATTAAATAATCTGATTGATAAAATTAAAAAATCAATAGGTAAACTAAAAAAAAGAGATAATAAATAAATAGTCATATAATTATCCTAATATTATTAGGCAATTTCATTTTATTGAAAAAATAAATTATTATAAAAAATCTTCTTTGAGAGATTCAATCACTAATATTAAGTGTGTAATGCTAATCGACCAAATTAATCAGAGTGAACTCCTGAAACCAAGAATGCATCAAAAGGAAAGGGATAAATTGTTAGTAAAGAGTCATAAGAATGATGGGGCTTTTGTACGTTTGTTGTGTTCTAAAACGACAACATGTTTCATAGTGATTGTCTAATTGAAAATGTTGTTTCATCTTAGCTGCGTTTTGGTATTATTGTGGAGGGAATGAAGCAAAATTACTACTCCGTAAAGAAAATGCTTATTGCCAATAAGGATCATTCATTTATTTTTAATAAATACCTTTTATTTATACATTTTTAAATTCGTTTAATTTGTGAATGAATTTGAACATTTTAATATTAAAATTAGATTAAATGAACTAATTTATCATTGTTAATTAGAGAAATAAACAGTCTGTCTGAGAATTAGAAATATATTATTTTACAATATGAGCTTGGCATTATCTTAATGAAACGAAGGTGACATTTTGGGTATATTTACGATAAAATAAGACGTTTGAAATAAGTATATTTGATCGGTTGATAGAGTTATACTTAAATTTAGAATTTATCAAAATATGATGTTTGAACTTCACATGAATTTTACAGAGTTTAGATTCTAGTTTAATTGTAATTACAATAATGAATGGGCGCCCAATATTTTGATAGGGACACATCTATGCTTTTAATACTGGTGACAGGTATATGTTCGCAACGACACCTAACCTTATTAATAAGTTAATAGTTTTTAATATTATTAATATTAAATTAACGACAATAAATGGGTAAGCTACACATATGGTCTTTTATGGTTTTGGTCTGTTCAATTTTAGTCACTAGTTCAGAAAATTCAATTTTTATTCCTTACATTATTGGTCCGTACAATTTTAGTCCCTAACGATTAAGTCCCGCTAACCCAGTAACTAAAGTTTGACTTGGAAAATAGAAAAATAAAAAAAAAAGTCATGTAAGTGACCTACTTGTAGTATAAAGAAGAAGAAGAAGAAGAGTGATCCAACTGTAATACAAAGAAGAAGAAAATAACAATATGAACAAGTGTTCTATGGTAAGGGACGAACAAAGTATGATTGAATTAGATAACTTCCAATAGAGACGGACGTATAGTTTTATATTAGACGGTTACACTACATCAAAATAGGGTTTTAGCGGTGTTTTTCAGTCATATATGGCGTTTTTAAGCGTCGCTAAAAACCTTTGTGGCACAAAAACAAACTGTTGAGTTAATCGATCGACGAAATAGCCAAGAGGGGGTGAATTGGAAATAAAATTTTTGGTGGAAGCTTTTGCAGAAAATAGAAAATAATTGCACAACGATTTAGAGTGGTTTGACTTTCTCAACCAAAGTCTACGTCCACTACCTTACCTATCCACACTAAGGATTTTCCAACAAATTCACTAATTTGTTCTTTCTTTTGAGGACAAAGAACAAAGAGTAACCTTACAACTCCCTCAAGAATTATACCCCAAATTCTTGAGAACACTCTCTCCCAAAGAGAAATACACAAATTTGCAAACTTATAGAAAAACCTCACAAGGTAAGATGTTTGCACAATTCTAGAACAAAGAAAGAACACTAAAAAATGAATACAATTGAGCACAATAAGTGTTCTTGAAAGCAAAATAAATATTGAATGAAAATTTGGCTTGAAATGCTGAAACTTGAGGTTTGATGCTTTCTCTTTGATTCTCTAGCATATCTTCTTAATTGTTGTTGATCAATGGCTCCTAAGCTTGTTTAAATACACCGTGGATCACTTTTGAACGTTGAGGATCATTGGTGAAGTCAATAGAGTTGTTATTGTGTAATTAAAAGTCTGGTGGGAGCGTGGGGGTGCATCGATGCATATCCAAGGTGAATCGGTACACTATGTGTAAAATTTAAATATTTCGACCGTTATAAGACTTAGTGCATCGGTACACTAGGGGTGCATCGGTACACTAATTACATTCGATGTTTCAAAGAGCCAGGAGTGCATCGATGCATCATATAGTGTATCGGTACATCACTTTGTAAATTTGATTTTTGGCTCGATTTTGGTTCGAAATACTTTGTAAAATTATTTCAAAAAATATTTTAAGTTTAAAACACAATTTTACACTTTAGTAAGGATTGAAATAGATCTTTGAAAAACTTGGAGTAATATTTTGATATTCGAGTAATTGAATTAAATATACTTTAAAAATGATTTATAAAATCTTAAAATTCATTTATACTTAATTTGTTATATCGAAACATCAAAATGTTTTCAACAATCTCCCCCTTTTTGATATAACAAAACATTTGAGTAATTTTAAGATTTTCTTTGAAAAACATTTTTGAAAAACAATTTTGTAAAATTACTCCCCCTTACTATAACACATATTCTCCCCCTTTTTGTTAAATAAAAAAGACTCTATAAAATATTTGTTCAAAACAAGACTTTTGAAATTTAGCCAATTGGTTTTAAATAAATATAGCTTAAGCTACTAAGATCACAATCAAGAGAAAGGTTAACCATTAGTTTCATAAAACAATATTCCTAAATAATGTGTAATGATAATTGGTCATATGTGTCTAAATGATGTAAATGATGCAAAATTAAAAATATTTCAAACAAACCAAATATATATATTAAGTTCAATCATTCAAAGCATTCAAGTTTAAACATCTAACATCCATAACAAATTCAATCATCCAAAATAAAACAATCCAAAAACATCAAAATGTTTAACAATAAGCTTGAAATCCAATATAAGAAAACTAAAGCAAGGCAAGATTTAATCCATAAGAGGATCGGGAGGAGGAGGATAATGTGACATCTCGAGTGTGAGCGCATCTAAACGTTCATTCATCTCCCGTTGTTGAGTCCCCAAAGCAATTAGATGGGACTTTATGGATGTGAACCTTAGATCAAATGACTCCAAAAACGATCGAAAATATGGAGGCATTTGATCCTCTTGCTGTGTCGGCTCATCCTTGGGTGATTCATCGTCAATATCGTCGATATCTTGCATAAGTTGCTAAAGCTTTGGATCATCGTCCGCTACCGGAGGAGGTG